AATCCTCCTTCATTTTACCCAATCTCATTTGTAAAATGAATCTAGTAATATTTTCTGTGTTGTGAGGCTTAATTAGTATTTGTAAAGTGCTTTGCACTTCTACGGTCTTTCACCCAGGGAACTTAAAATGTTGGTTGTAGCAGAAGTCAAAATAGCTCTCTAAAATGAAAAGTGGAAAGGTGAAAAGCAATAGAGCAGGATTTTCCATTGCATTTTCCCACCAAGCACAGAAAAGTCCACCGCTATTCCCTGGCAGAAGTACTCTTAAAATACGGTGCAGGGGCAAAAGGTATTTTCCTTAAAATAAGGCATTGGGTCGGTATATTTTTATTCCATGTTCATGATAGCCCACTCGTTACATTTTTTCTCACTAAGGTCATTCCACGTTGAGTGCAGCAAACAAGGAACCATCTATGTGTGTGCGCATATTGTATATACAGAGGTAGATGTTTTAGTACTGAACGCTATTGACTAGATTTTTGTTTTTGTTTTTTGCAAGTCTTGAACAAAAAAAAGCAAGACTATTTCTTTCTCTCCCCTCAATCCCCCCTCCTCCCAAGCCTCATTTCCCTGGGGTTCTTTGAGCCTCCGAAGACAGGCCAACCACATGCTTTGAGAAACACTACTGTAGATAAATTAAGCTGCCAAGCTCAGAACAGAGCGCAGAATATGAAAGGAAGAATTTTTAATAATCAGTGAGTAAAAAAAAATAAGACAGCCTGCATAACTGCCTAGCATTGCAGCTGTAAGATGTGATCAGAGCCATAGAAAATTTGGTTTAGTAAAGGTCAACTCCTTGTGCTATGAACAAGCGGTAAACACTTAAATTCAAAGTGATCATTATGACATTTAGTTTTCTCCCGTTTCCTCTGTAGAAATAAACATCCTTGAGTAAGTACCTAAAGCTAGTCTGACAGCCACTACCAAGAGGATAAAGCATTAATAATTCTTGTCTGTGGTGAAGCTACCTTTCCTAAGTGTGTTAAACGTATCTCTAAGTAAATCTTCACAAGCCGAACTATCCCCCACCCAGGGCAATATACTATTTACTAGTAATGGAATCTACTATTGCTTCCCTGCGGAGCTGTGTCAGCAGAAGATTTATTCCAGGTAGGGCAGTCCACAGTCGGTTGGTAGATGTCATGCCAAAGTAGTCTTCTATTCCCTCAAGATGTTGGTAGAATATGAGATTGGTATACTCAGAGAGGCGGTGATCAATTGTTCTCTATGTCCGCTAATGGTAGGACAAGGCATAACGTAGGTAGCATAATCTGCAGCAAGGGACATTTAGGTTAGATATTAGGAAAAATTTTCTATCTGTAAGAATAGTTAAGCTATGGAATAGGATTCCAAGGATGGTTGTGGAATCCCCATCATTGGAAGTTTTTAAGAACAGGTGAGACAAACCCGCGTCGGGGATGGTCTAAGTCAGGGGTAGGCAACCTATGGCACGCGTGCTGAAGGCGGCACGCGAGCTGATTTTCAGTGGCACTCACACTGCTCGGGTCCTGGCCACTGGTCTGGGGGGTCTGCATTTTAATTTGATTTTAAATGAAGCTTCTTAAACATTTTAAAAACCTTATTTACTTTACATACAACAATAGTTTAGTTATCTATTATAGACTTATAGAAAGAGACCTTCTAAAAACGTTAAAATGTATTACTGGCACGCGAAACCTTAAATTAGATTGAATAAATGAAGACTTGGCACACCACTTCTGAAAGGTTGCCAACCCCTGGTCTAAGTATATTAGGTCTTGCCTCCGCACAGGGGGCTGGACTAGATGACCTCTCAAGGTCCCTCCCAGCCCTACATTTCTATGATTCTATTTGAAAAAATAGTTACTGAAACCTCTCCAAGAACTCTTCAATTTGATAAGGGGAGGAGATATTTTAAATCACTCCATGATTCAAACAGTGATAGGGACAGCAAAAGTTTAGTAACTATTTCTATGAAGAAGAGTTTAGTCTAAAATCCAGCCCGAGAACTTTCCTAGTATAGGAATACAGGAAGCATTTTTCAAATGATCAAATGTGCCCAGAGAGCTAAGAAATACGGCACTACAAAATAGACATTATGGACACAAGAGAATCCTGGCATAAATTGACATAAGAACTGGTGCTATACTATAGCAAAGAATTGGTGGTTTTCTACCCCAAATAGAACAAAATATATTAAGTATATCAAGAAAAGGTTTCACTTATTCTGAAGAACGGTATCAACACAGAGCAGAAACCAGCCAATGAAAGAAAAGAAATTGGAATATCAGTGAAAAAGAATCACAACTAGAAAAGAGCTGAAGTTGAAATATTCAGGCCATTTAAGAGCTTGCAGGTCCAATGCCTGATTTACTCTTTGGTGCTTTCAGTTAGTGGCTGTGCTGGCTTTTGATGGAATAGGGTGCTTCTGGAAATAATGGGCCTCATTCACTGTCCTATTTATTCCGATTTTACACCATTTGAAATCAGCGGAGGTACTCGGACATAAAACTCTAATAGTGCCGGAGTGAATCAGGTCCTATATTGCAGGGTTATTCAACTGGCACTGGAGAGTCATTCTTGAAGTATTTCTTTGAAAGGGATATTCAATCAGGTGTTGGAAATGGGTTGAGAGGAGGATGTAGGTTGAGAACACAAATGAAAATTGCCTCACATTTAGTGATGCCCTGTGTGGGTTAGTCTCCAAACATATCATGACCAATTAATTATAATGGTTGCTCTCAGTACAAAAAGGAAGCTGGATGGCACAATGAAAGAAAAGAAATAATTCCATGTATACATGGAGACTGGGATGTTAATAGAGAGAATCTGTGCTCAGTTAATGAAAGAACTTTGTAATTAGAAATACATGCTTACCTAAATACACGTAGCATGCAAAACAAATCAGAATTTTGGCAAATAGCAAAGATATAAAACAAACTGATCAGGTGGTAAGCTCAGAATGGAAATGATCTCTAAAGTGCCATGACGCACAATTAAGTTTCATTCAAATTAGTCAATCAATAATCAATCAGCTGGAGTAGAAGCAAATGCTTGGTGACAAGAACCATGTATTCATTTATAACTCCGGTAGGTTGAATGGAGAGTATCTGAAGTCAAACTGTTATTCCAAAAAGGTATTTTTCAGTCCACAGCTGCCTCTAAATACCACCTAGACTGAGAAGATACCCTGGAAAATAAGTAATTGAATCAGCATTTCAGCAACTGAATCTTCCAATGTCAGCTTGCTGTTAGTTAATCTAATTTGAAGGCTGCAGTAGTAGGAAAATACCTTTGAACTAATGAAAAATTGTTTCTCTTTAAGCTGTGTTATTTTTGTACATCACTTTAGAACAAGGCACCTTGTTAAGTCTGAAGTTCAGTATTTTGAGCACATAGTAAAAAAGTGCAAAGGAACTAAATCAACATTTGTAACCATATTTTATTTTGCACTCCACTTTAGATTATGTAAAATTGCAGACCCATATCTTCCAAATTGTTTTCTGTGATTTGATTAATCGCACCCACAGTACTAACGTTAAATCAGGAATGAATTGCAAAAGTTTGTAACATTTTGTGGCAAAATATATCTGTTGTTGTCTGCATTAGTAAGAAGTTACGGCTACTTTTGTACAACTAAAAAGCATAGTCGGAGACAAATGGTGTTAAGAGTAGAAAATTATTAAATCTGCAGAAAGTATAATAGTGTAGTCTACTGTAAGAGTGACAGGATGCAATTGAAAGTAGATTCTTAGTTAACTAATCATATGGTTTTTTTCCCCCCCAATGGTATTACAATAGATTACCCACTCCTGGGTCTTTGCTCTCTACGTGAGTGTCTGATAGAACTCATGTAGCTCAAAGGTCTGAGCCATTATATTTTCTTACCTGCTGACAGAACCACTTCCAGCCTAGCACAGACATCCAGGTTAAACATTTACTATCCTGCACTCAACAGATCAACTCCATTTGAGTGTAACTTTTCATAGCAAGCTGGTGTGATGTTCTCATTAGCTGCTGCTGTTCTTATTTATTGATTGTATTACATGGCTGTGAGCATCATCTGCTTGTGACATTTACCCTCTACCTTGTCACTAGGTTTTTGGACCTATCAGCTGTGTCTGGGTTCAGGGCTCCCTTGGAAATCCATTTCATTAACAGTTCAGACCAGATTGGTGTGGTCATAAGGAAGTAATTGCCAGAATTCTTCCCGGTCCCTGCACGTCCTGCTTGGGATGATAGTTCTTTGAGCCATGCCCGTCCCTACATTGCTTTCCAGTCCATCACAATGAGAAAGCGATGGTACCACTTCATGCTCCAACCTCCTCCTGACCATGTCAGCTGCAGGGTACAAGGACTGAAGTCTAGCTATGATCCCTACTGCCAGTCTGACACCTGTTTATCTAGCTAAGGTAGTCTATCACCATGATATCTAAGCATCCATCTCCATACCAGCATCCTAGAACCAATATCCTGCCTATCCGGAGACACAGATGCAGCTGTCATGGACAAGTAGTGCTTGGCTACACATTGCAGTAATGCTCAGCAGTGGGGTGTGACTTCTAATGCACACCAATGCTGCGCACTTACTGGCCTGTGTAGACCCTGATGGTGTGTACAAAAATGTCCGTAGTGCCTGCTAACATAATACTAGTTTTGGTGCACATTAGAATTCACCCCACTGGTGTGCATTACTGCACTGTGTAGACAAGCTTGTAAGTATTAACATACATAGGCAAGAAGCCAGAGCAACTTAAACGTTCACTGAATAGCATAAATAATTCAACTCGGTGAATTCAATGGGACTGTGGTACTTGTGTGAGTAATGGTTTTAGAATCAGGTCTTTGCAGACTGGTTAATCATGGTGAATATATTTTCCACCTAATGGATAAATGCTAGATTAAATATAAAATGAACAGGACAGTATAATTTTTAAACAAATAAATGTCTCACACATAATTTTCCTGCAGCTGAAACCATCAACTTAATAGAAAATACTGTATTCTGTTTCTGTTTCTAGCCTCCATTGTCATCCAGAAGTGGTGGTGTCACATGAACCCTTGTCTGGATGGAGAGGACTGTAAAGTGCTACCGGACTATTCAGGTTGGTCTTGCAGCAGTGGAAATAAAGTCAAAACCACCAAGGCAAGTATAGAGAGCGTGTATATTTAAAAGATCTGCAGTGTTGTTGTAGCCATGCTGGTCCCAGGATATTAGAGAGACAAGTAGGTGAGGTGATATCTTGTATTGAACCAGGTGAGAGAGACAAGCTTCCGAGCTTACACAGAGCTCTGATCTGTGTCACCTCGAACCGTGTGTCTCTCACCAACAGAAGTGGGTTCAATAAAAGATATTACCTCACCCACCTTGTCTCTCTAGATTTAAAGGTGACAGTCTAGGGACAACAAGCGCTCGTTTCCATTGATCCTGCTCTGCTGGTGTTAGCATCAATCTCACCATCTTAAACGTTTTGGGTTGTTTTTTTTTTAAAACAGTCATGTGTGTGATTGCTCCCGGTGAAGACACTGCTGGATCTAAGCTGAGGAGTGAATACTCCTCTCTCCAGTACCTAGCTCGATTAAATTAGTTGGGTGCTACAGTGATCTGGTGGAGAGCAGAGTTAGGGCCTGCACATCCCTAGCACCTCTCTCATTCTCAACGGGAGAAGGGCTAGGATCCTCATAGTGGGTTATCATGTGGCTAGCTCTGCCTCAAACTCCAGTCTTCCCAGAGAGCTGAGTTTTGCACCACATGGGGGTTAGCATCTCCTGCGTCGTCTCCCCAAAATCCTGCCCTCTCATCCCTTTTCAGCAGGACGTCACCAGTGCCCTACGGCAGGAGCAGGATTTTCCCCTTCCATAAGGGCTTGGCCTGTCCCAAGGACAGATTGCCGAGCATGCCTTATTGTGCCTGTCAGCATAGAGGGTCATTGCCACAGGCAAATATTCAGTCAGGCAAGTCCACTAAATTCATTTTGGGCCCAACACTTCAGCCTTTCATCAGCCTGTTTGTGTGAGGAAGGACAGCTCACTTGTATTGATAGCACGATAATGACCTTGATTTGCAAAATGACAATGCAAGGCCAAGATTTTCACAAGTGACTGACTAAAGTTTGGTTCCTGACTCTGTGGTGAGAGACCAAAACAAGTGACCTGACTTTCAAAGGTGTGGAGAATCTGCACAGATTTCTGATAGGAGCCATAAAGCTCTCTGCACCATTGAAGGTCTGCCCACTGACCTAGGAGCGTAATTATGGGCTTACCTTTAGCTGCCCGTTTTTTAATGTCTTGGCCAAGGTCTTCATTATGAAGCCCAGATTCATAACTCACTGAATATGAGGCAAATATCTCATCCCTCTGACTATTTAACAAGCTAAAATTAATTCAAGGAGCTAAGATTTGGCAACTCATAGTGGACTGTGTGTCTAAATACATTGTGAAAATAGCGGGCAACAACCTGTAAAGATAAATGGTTAGCCTTTGACCCCTCCCCACACCGCTTCAAATTGAGAATGGATTCAGCTGTTTGTTATGAATTAATAAGCAAATGTTGCTGCCAGATTCCATTTGATAATGACTGTTTCACACAGTAGTGAAAGGATATAATACATGCTATATTGATCAGAAAAAATTAAATGTATCGGGCAATTGTTATGTGATACTGTGAGTAGTCATTATCTGGGGGTTAACAACCCAGATCCCATGATGATGGGCTAACTAAATACCCAAGCAGAGAGATACAATTCATAGTCTGAAAAACACTGCTGCTGTTTTCAATGTTAGAACAATGGTCACAAATTAATATTTGTGTAATGCTATAGCTGTGGTTAAATCATGCCATACCCCTGCCTCCTGCAGCTTACGGTCTCTGCTCCTGATCTTGCAATTGACAGTCCACATGTACAGTGCTTTGTCAATTGCAGGATTGGGGGGGATGCGTCCATTCCTGTGAGTTGCTAAGCACCTTCTGCAAACTGCTGATTATCTTCCACCTGTGTTAAAGTCAGTAGCAGTGGAGTGCCCTCACGGGATCAGGCACTAAGTCAGACCTGGAATGAGGAGAGATGACTTCAAACAAAGGAGTGAGCTGGAGAAAGTAGAAATTATATATAGGAAGTAATAGAGCTACTCCCATTGACATGAGTGGGGAATCTAGCTCTATGTATCTAGAAAAAGGCAAGTTAAAATCATTTTTAAAAGTTAGATATACTCAATGGCTTTAAAAATGAACAAAGGAAAGGGTTAAAAGGCCAAACTAGGAACATTGCTAGGATTAATAACATCAGGGCTGGTGCTGCAAGCACTTTAATGCATTTGGTTTCCTTTGCTCCCTTCGATTTCCGTGGGACTGACCACGCATCTGAGTGAAACTGCTCATGTTTGTAAGTGTTTGAAGGGCCTGGCCCATAAACAATGAACAGAGGCAGCAGTAGCTTGGCCTGGGGTAAATGCAGCAGCTGCCATTTATATTATTATCCCCAAAATAAAACCCCCTGCAATCAGCAAACCAAAGAATAGGCTAATGCATTGTGATGGCCATGGGGATGTCTTCAGAAAGGCAGAGTGGGGCAGATCGTTCTGCCTTCAGTTAGACCTGTGTGAATTCCTAGACCTACCCAAACCCATTGGGGTCCAGCTGAGGACAGAGTTTATCCCTAAGAAAGCTCGTGTAGTTCCGTGAAACCCCTCCTTTCATTTGCTGGGGCGTCGAGTACGTTCCGCACTGTAGCAGACCACTTTGGAGGGACATTTAAAGGAAAGGGCATGCAAATAACAGGTGCACGTCACTTGCTCTAGCATATTTTAAATATGAGAAATGTTCATTGTAAAATGCAGTGAGGGAAAAAATTGTTTTCTTAAATGGGCAAATGTCTGAATTCATACATTGGCAAATAGCTATAGATAGAAATAGGTAGACTGGAATTATTGCTCTGACTATGCTGGGTGCATGCTTTTCCCTTTCCCTCTCATAGAGTATCAGGGTTGGAAGGGACCTCAGGAGGTCATCTAATCCAACCCCCTGCTTAAAGCAGGACTAATCCCCAGACAGTTTTTTGCCCCAGATCCCTAAATGGCCCCCTCAAGGATTGAACTCATAACCCTGGGTTTAGCAGGCCAATGCTCAAACCACTGAGCTATCCCTCCCCCCAAACATATGATCAGCATAACCCAGAGGGGACTCGAACCCACAATCCCCAGCTCCGGAGGCTGATGCCTTATCCATTAGGCCACTGGGTCACCCTTTGAAATACCTCCCCAGCCCCCACCTTTTGGATGGTAAACTCTTCGGGACAAGGACTGCTTTTCTATAGGTGTATGTCTAGCATCCAGCACAATGGGGTCCCTAATTCTGACTCAGGACTTTGGCCACTGCTTTAATCTAAATACAAAGATGAACAATAACAAGTATTATGTTTCAGTGACCCCTAAGCCTGAGATCCTCTTGAACCAGTGATAGGCAGCACTTCCGTCTGGGCGCAAGCCAATAGCTTCTTCAAAAGGAAGGCCACCCAACCAGCGCCCAGCAATACACATTTCTTAGTATGAACTGTGTGATAGAGCATTGCTGCTTTGTTCGTAGTTTGTTTAATGTATTTTGCATGCAGACAAGTTACTACTTATGCTCTTCATTCCTATGATTTGCTGGCCCATCCAGGCCTTTCTGTATTTATCTGCGGTTCTGCACTCCTTTATCAGTAAGTAAACCTGTGAGGTGTCCGTTGTGAGGTGGGACTATGAATGTAACAGTGCTAGATCCCCAGTAGTAGTGACATTTCATTTAGCACTGCAAGAAGACAAAATCTCATCATACTGTTCCCCAAGTCATCATGATACTATCACTAGTTTTTAGGATTCTGCCACTTGAGAATAATTCTCAGATAATAAAACTTTATTAATCCAACCAAGACTGACTGGAAAGGTTTAAAACATTTTATGTCCTTTATTAATCTTATGCATATATAGTAAATTCATTTGTATAACTGCTTCCAGCTATTGTGTAGCGCTGTTACAAAAAATTATGAAGTCTGGCACTGCAGTTTCTAAATAACTGTGTACAGTAGAAGATTTTACAGTAAAATAAACAGGTTAATTTTATAATTATGACTGTCCTGTGGGAGAAGAATTATGTATGTTGTAATCAGAGATCAGGATTTTTTTAAAAATGAGTTAAGTAGAATTGACAAAAACAGCACCTCCATGGACAAAAATCTTGATTTCCCCGTTAGGCGAGTGGTACTGAAACTGGACGCTAGTTGATATAAAATAGAAGAACATAGAAATAGTCTATGTTAGAAATAATCTAAACATATCGGATTAGACCAGTGGTCTGGGTGATCCAGTCACAGTAGCTGGTTGAATGCTTCCCGGGGAAAAGTACAAGAAACCTCTAGATAGACAGCTCTAGAATGACCTGCCCAAAGGGGAAGTTTCTTCTTAATGCTCACAATTTAGTGGTTGGCTTATGTCTCAAGTCGTGAAGGTTTAAATCCATTCCAAATTTAAAAAAAACTGGGATGATTTTATCTATTTACATGTTTGATTCCTTTTTGAAGCCTATAAAATCTTGGCCTCAATGATAATTGGTGGCAGGGAGTTCCACAGGCTAATTATGCATTGCAGAAAGAAAGTTCCTTTGATCACTTTTTACGTTGACTTTCAATTTCATCAAAACACTAGCCAGACATGCAGTCTGAGACACTCATATATTTACTGTGTATTTATAGACGTAGTTACAATGACTAATCAGGGACAGTGAAACAAGTAAATGCTTTCTTCTTGGAGTAATTGTCTTGTGAAGCCAAATAAAAATGAATGGAATACTTTCTGCACGTGTTTATATTTAACAAGGAAAGCAGACCAACAGAGCATTTTAGTTGTGGTTAGAAACTAGATTTTTGATGTGCTTAATTGCTGACCAGCTATCAATTGAAAAATTGCTGGGAAACTTAACAGTGAGTGCTTTAATATACACGTGTTAAACTACAAGCACTGCATGTAAAGACAGAAGCACTTGCCTTGGCAGAAGTAGCATTCTCAAGCAGGGCTTCATCTCCTCTGAACTCAGGCATCCCATTTGCCCCTACTGTCCATCATCTCAGTGTCATGCCTGAGTCTGAGGATTCCTTCAACTCCTGTGTCTGCAAATCTGCCCATCTCCCTCTCTGAAAACACTGTCTGCGTTTGCCACTGCCTCAGCTCCAACTCCTCTGACCTCCTCAATGCCTCCATCTTCTAGTCTGGACTATTTCAACTCCTTTCTCCAGGGCCTTCTCAAGCTGCCACTCTCCAGCCCTGGAGAAAACTGCTGCCCATCTTCTGACACAGATATAGGAGCATGCCCACATTGACTCAGAGAATCATAGAAATGTAGGACTGGAAGGGATCTTGACAGGTCATCTAGTCCAGTCCCCTGCACTGAGGCAGGACTAAGTATTGTCTAGACCATCCCTGACAGGTGTTTGTCTAACATGTTCTTAAAAACCTTCAATGATGGAGATTCCACAACCTCCCTAGGCAATTTGTTCCAGTGCTTAACTATCCTTACAATTAGGAAGCTTTTCCTAATGTCCAACCTAAATCGCCCTTGCTGCAATTTAAGCTCATTACTTCTTGTCCTATCCTCTGTGGTTAAGGAGAACGATTTATCACCCTCCTCTTATGTACTTGAAGACTGTTCTCATGTCCCCCCTCAGTCTTTTCTTCTCCAGACTAAACTCATTTTTTTTTCAATCTTTCCTCGTTTTTTAATAATTTTTGATGCCTCCTCTGGACTTTTTCCAGTTTGTCCACATCTTTCTCAAAGAGTGCTGCCCAGAACTGGACACAATACTCCAGTTGAGGCCTTATTAGTGCTGAGGAGAGCAGAAGAATTACTTCTCGTGTCTTGCTCACAACATTCCTGCTAATACATCCCAGAATGATGTTTGCTTTTTTTGCAGCAGTTTTACATTCTTGACTCATATTTAGTTTGTGATCTGCTATAACCCCCAGATCCTTTTCTGCAGTACTCCTTGCTAGGCAGTCATTTCCCATTTTGTATTTGCGCAATTGATTATTCCTTCCTAAGTGTCAGACTTGGCATTTGCCTCGATTGAATTTCATCCTGTTTATTTCTGACCATTTCTTCAGTTTAAGATCATTTTAAAATCTAATCCCGTCCTCCAAAGCGCTTGCAACCTTGTCCAGCTGATATCATCTGCAAACATTATAAGTGTATCTCTCTATGCCATTATCCAAATTATTTATGAAGATATTGAATCCTTAAACTTGACCAGTTTCCATTGCCCATGTCCAGAATCCAGTTCAAAATGACCCTTCTTATTTATGAAACTGCACGTAGACTTGCTCCACTGGCCTTACGCTTTACTCACATAGCACCAGCTGCCTCTCTGAGCCCTTACACACGATCACTTTGGTGGTGCAAGTGCCTTCAGCTCTGCAGCTCATGCGTTCCGGAGCCACCTTCCTGAATCTCTCTGCGTCATTGACTCTCCATCTGTTTTCCACATTTATCTGAAAATACAACTTTTCTCCTTGCCTAAACCACTAGGTTGGCTCTAGCTGTGCTTTCAGTTTTTAACTGTGCCGCATGTTGTCTGGCTCTGTAAAGCATTCTCGGATATCATTTTAAAGAAAGGTGCTATTCAAGATAATGCCGTTGGGGAAGGTTTTCAAAGACACAAATGGCAAGCAGGCATCTTATTCTCAGGAAAAGGGAATTAGGAATCTAACTGTAAATATGTGCTTTGTAAATCTTTCCTTCTATTACCAAATGGCATTGTACTTTATACTAGTTTATATGACTTCTGGTGATATGCAATACATAGATATGCTGAATGTAATTTAATCATTTAACATGCTTTCATCTAAACAATTCCTCTGCAGGAACAAAACAGTTTTATCACCATTGCTCTGATAGTTTCTGTGTGTGTAACTCTCTCTCTCTCTCTCCTTTTGTAGGTAACACGGTAGCAAAGGATAAACCTATGTGTCATTGCTGGAACAATGGGATTTGCAGCTGTGTTGCTTGTCTGTTTTACATAGTCCTGTTTTTTTCTGAGAATACTGTAGACTTTACACTTCAAACTTACAAAATTAGTGAGCAAGAAGGACAATACTTCTCTTTTTGACTATGGTGGCACTTCTTGATGCAGGATTTTCCCATGCAGAACTATACACTTTTAATTAAAAAAAAAAGAGAGAGAATTATGACTCTACTGAAAATACACCTTGGATTCTCCAGGATCCTATACCTGCAAGCAATTCATAGAAACAGAGACCTGTGCTTCTGAAGCACATCAACTATAAGACTTTATTTACAGCACTGAAGGCTGTGAAATCATTTAAACGATTTTAGATCTTTCAAGTAGCTTGGGGGAAAATGGTTACATTAGAAAGAACTGGCATAAATTCATTAGAAGGTACCATCTATCATGCAGTACAATGGACCAATGTAAAGCTGGTCTAAAAGCTAAATGAACCTAAGGGATAATGGTAATAAACCATGTCTCAATGCATTTTCAGCTGTGATTTAGTAAATATTGATACTGTATGAAGGTGAAAAAATGACTCTCGTAAATCAGTAGCATTTAGTGTATGCCATACTTTTTTACAAGCTGTGCAATTATATTTATTTCCTTAGATAGTTCCAGGTATTTTAAATTTTACATTCATAAGTGGCAGTGAGGGAATGTGACTAAATCTGAAAGTAGATATAGATTTTATTGTCCTAAATAAATCCGTTCTCTAAGGGAATAACAAAGTATAAATATTCCTTGCCTCTTTGATTCCAGATATGGAAGAGAATTTAGCCATTAGCTAGAAATATTTATTCAGATGCTTCAAAACAAGAGAGGAAACTAGAACTGCATAAGGAAAGCTTACTGGAAGACGGGTAATTTGTTTAGATTTTCATAGCGTTGGCTGTATTCTAATAGGTAACTTACTTAAAATTCATAAGTCCTAGATAAAAAAAGGATCTTCACTTTCAATTAGTTCTAGTTTATAATGATTATAATAATTAAGTGTCCAGTTCCTTGACAGACTAAATTTTCAAGCTGATACACTTTGTGACACATAATTGTTTCCTATTATTTTAGATGTATCTCATTCTGTTTTTCTTACTTGCCTGACTGTTACACTTTTTTTTTTGTCATCAGACTTCATAAATAGAACTGTAAAAGGAAGTGCAGTTGCAGCCAGTCATTTCATGGTTACATCATTTTATGGCTTAAGATGCATTGGAATAGAATTAAATGCAATGATGCAGACAGATATCATGCAGATTAACTGCTAACCCAGCTATTGAATACATTGTTATGCTTTATGTAAATATTACAGTAATAACATACAACTGGTTTTTTATATATCCAGAAATGCCAAAAAATTGAGACCGTTGCACTAATTTAGTTCGCTGTGCACAAGCTTTCTAGCTAATGGGAAAAATATCATCAACAATGTGAAGCTGTTTAGTTTCTTTTGTTGCAGTGAGTATAAATATTGATCCAGTCTTACTCCCATTGAAATCAATGGCAAAACTCCCTTTTGAGTCCCGTGGGAGGAAGAGCAAGCCCTATATTTTGATTTTGATTTCTCACTTTTAATTATGTACTTTGATCACCGCTGGGACCATGGTGGCTATTGTATTTGTTAATAAGTAAATGAGAATTTTTCTGCTACATGTTTTGAAAGCTGCATAGTTATTCCACCTAACAGCCTTTGCCCCTCTAATGGACTCAACATTTTGATTTTTTTTTTTCATTGTAATTTAAGACAAAACGTAAAGAATCACCTGAAGGATTTAAACTATTTGGATGCACACATGCCCAGTGATATAGTTTTAAGTGAAGATTGTTGTTGCTTTATGTCCTGGTAGCCTAGGCTTAATTATTATTTATCTATTGTGGTCGGCACTGACCATAGAATAAAACACTGTCCCTATTCGAGAGAGTTTAGAATCTAAATAGACAAGGCAGACAAAGGCTGGTAGAAAGAAGCGGTTGTTATCTCCATTCCACAATGGAACTTAGGCAGAATCTCCACTATGCCTGATTTGGAGCAGAGACTTAAACGCAGGTTTCCCCCCTCCCAGGAGCTTGCACTAGCTCTCGGGCTACTGGCTAGTCAAGGATGGGTCTCAGCTTGCTGGCTTCTGTGAATCCCTCTCTTAGGTGCCTCGCTTTCCCCAGGCATTGTACAGGGAGCCTGGGCAGCTGTGGATTCACTGGGCAGCAAGGCGGCTAAAGTATGTCTACACTGTGCACTCCTGATGGCGGCGTGTCGAGTACGTGCACTGCACGCCCACACAGCATGGGTATAAATAGCCGTGTAGATGCTGAGGCACTGCGTAGGTGAGTAAAGACATGCCTGAAGTCTGTGGGTATATACCTCACATGGCACTCTACAAGCCCAAGCAACGCCTTCCCCCGTCTACACCACTGTTTTTAGCAGTGTAGCGTCCTGCTACTTTCTGGCTCCAGGAGCCTTTCCCTGCTGTCTCCCCCTTGCCAGGGCCTTTCACTGACAGGTGTAGCTGCACACGGCTGTGTGGACACAGCCTGCTTTTCACTGTGGTGTGTAGCTACACGTACACTACATGCTGCTGCCAGTGGTGTGCAGTGCAGACATAGCCAAAGAGTCAGGCACTGTAATGCTGATGCCTAACATCTGTTATGGATCTAGCCCAAAGTGACTTGCCCAAGATCTCACACGATCAGTCTGTAGCAGAGCTGAGAATGGAACTCAGGCATTCCGTGTCCCAGTAACCACAAGGCCATTTGCCTTCTCCATGGATGGAATAAAGGCAAGACAGTACCTTACGTATCTAGACTCAGACGTACTGAAGATACATTTTCAGAGTCACTAAAGAGGAAGAAAACAATGACGTAAATTCAGTAACACAAGTTATGCAATGTACAGCTTGCCTTCCTAGAACATCCTCCTATGATAGTGATTTTATATTTATAAAGCAGCTTTCTTCTCAAAGGATCTCAGGTTGATATACACCCTTTCTGGATTCATTGCACATACTGTAATCTATCTAGCTTTAGGTATGGTGCTGCCCCTTCTTCTAACACCAGTGTCCCGTTTCCGACATCAGCATCACCCCTCTGCTGAGTGGTAGAATTCTAGGGCCTTACAAATCAGTTTCCTAGTGGAGGAGAAATCTATAGTGCAGAGTCTGGGTATGTTCTAAATGTAACTTGCTTTATTTACTATATACACCAATCCTGGAACAGAGATGGTCACAGACATCATGCAGGCAATCTTCTCTTCCAGAAATCTCAGCCTGGACCCCAATGCTTGGCTCCTAGGAAGCTACTCTCTCCTGAGAATTGTCTCCAAATATAGAGAATAATGGAGAGAGAAAACTCTCTGGTATCTGCTGCTGCATCTCTCAAAAGGACCACAGCATATAAAAAACATACAATAATACAGCATTTCTTCAAAGACTAAAACCTTGCTCACAAATTAAGAAAAATATGTGTAAATCTGTAAGACTATATGTAATAGTACCATCTGGTGACTCTCACTATAATAATAGGAATCACTTCAGTCACTAATGAAATACAGTAACTTCTCCACAAAACTTTTAAACTGTTTGATAGCGCACATCAACCCTACGGAACCATTTAGGACTTGAAGTGAGGAATATTCTAGCCAGCAGAAACTAAATGGAGCTTTTGGGTAGGCACAATGCGGTTGCTTAAATTGGAATTAAGAGAGACATTGGTATTAGCATATGTATTCTTGCAAAATCCATAACGGTATAATTAATGTCCACAAACCAAACAGCTCATCTGAAAGACAGTATCTGCCGCAGCATCCTCAAGCACCAGGCAGTGGAATTGATTCTGGGTAGACTCAGAGAAAAGAGTGCTTATCTAATTCTTGTAGCCCTTGACTTCGAGTATGTCTACACTGCATTGTAAACCCAGGTCTGTAGGATCTGGGCTTGTGGACTTGGTCATTCCAAGCTCATGCTTGAGCATCCACACTGCATTGTAAACCTCGGTTTACAATTGCTGGACCCGGGTCTCACAGCCATGCATGTCCATGCTGCACTGTGCAGACTTTCTGACTTGAGTCTGCAGCTTGACCTGTGTCCACACTGCACAATGACAGGGGTTGGACCTGAGTCACAGTGGTATTCTGATCCACCCCCCGTAGCAGGGTCCTAGGGTCTGGGTCTGACCTGAGTCAAACTGATTTATGGGTGGACAGAAGGGGAGCTTGGGCTCAAACTTGAGTCAGAGCCTGGGCTTAAGGTAGGTCTACACTGCAATAGAAAAAGTGGCATTGAGTCGCAGAGCTCGAGTCAGCTGACTGAGGCTCATGGAGCTCGGGCTGCAGGGCTGTAAAATTGCAGTGTAGATGTTTGGGCTTGGGGCTGGAGCCTGGGCTCTGAGATCATCCCCCTCTTGTGGAGTCTCAAAGTCCGGGCTGAGTCAGCTAACCAGGGCCAGTGGTGGCTGTGCTGCTGATCTTTTCTTGCAGTGTAGACGTATCCCAAGAGGTCTCTTGTCCAAGTAGAGACCCAGACCTACTCTGCCTAACGTTGGAGATTTGACTACAGTACTTCTCATTGCATGGAAGCAAGGTGGCTGAGATCTACAATCCATTCCTGATGCTTGCAGTATATATTGAGTTCCACTTGATCTGTATTAACATTTTAGCTGAGGGATCAGGACCCCATTACAATAGTGGGGCTTTTGGGCATTGCCTTAATATAAGTAAGAATAAAAGGTCGGATGCCCAAAGTGCCTAAGGGCATGTCTATGCTGTGATTAAAAAAAACCCACGGCACCGAGTCTCTGACCCCAGGTCAGTTGATTGGGCTTGTGGGGCTCGGGCTTGCATGGGTAGGAATAGCCGTGTAGACATTTAGGCTTAGTCTGGAGCCCGGACTCTGAAACCCTGCAAGGGAGGAGGGTCTCAGAGCCTGGGCTCCAGCCTAAGCCTAAATGTCTACACTGCAATGTCTACACTCACCGTCCGATCCCTATGAGTCTGAGTCAGCTGACTTTGGCCTGCCGGGGCAATGCCACGGCCCGTTTATTGCAGTGTAGACCTACCCTAAGTGACTTAGGAGCACATGTTCCACTGATTTTCAATGGAACTTGGGCTCCTCAGGGTATGTCTACACTGCAAAAAAAAGGGGTGTTCTTAAATCATGTTAACTAACCTGTGTTACCTAC